TAGAAGCTTTTTCCTTAAATGGAGATTCTGATATGAAAAAGTAATAAATAAAAAATAAACTCAAACTTTTGAATGGAATATCATATTTGCATATGGCTTTCAATTAGAAGATCAAAGTTACAAACAACCGAAATTTAAAGAAAACATTTATTTAAATTACTTTCTCGGCTATTATATATAACGGAGGAACAGTATAGCGTTGGTCAAGAAATGACCTCTCAAAGATGTTTACATTTTTGGACTCGGAACCTTGAAACGTTGAGAAAGAAATTCAAAATAATTCGAGGGTTTTTTCTATATGTATGGTTGTTACTGTGTGGGGGGGGCACAGTTTTGTTCATCCATTTTGAAGTTTAATAATTTCTGTGCGTTTTGTTCAACGTTTCTATAATTTTGCGGGAAGGTTTGGATATTAGAGGGATTTTTGCTATTAAATTTTAGTGGTTAAAGGTAGGAAGATAGATGGAGGTCGTGTCCTAACTCGAGTGGGGACGGACTTAATGATTTTATTGGATATTAGCATTTATAATTTTTTTTATGAAACTTGTCTCTACCTCAAAATTAACCTTTTTGCCAGTTTATAATAATTAGTAATATGCGATTTTATTTTTTAACAGATGGCGTAACACACAATTTTAACTTTATTGTTGAGGAAAGTTACGCAACTCGTTGCTGGATATTTTTTAAATTTGAGTCAATATCTTAAATTATGGGATATAGGAAAACGATTAAATTGACCCAAAATTTTTTGTATGGTCATTACAGCGTTAATAACCTTAAATTATATTCTAATTTTTAATTTCCTCATTTAATAAATGCAATAAGTAATGCTCAATGTAATTAATTCCATTGTTATAAATGAAATAAAATGCCTTTATATTATTCTATACGTGCATTTCTGTTATAAATTAGGATACAACTAAGTTCATTATCCTAAAAATTCCTTCTTATTTCGGTTTCTATTCTGAAGAAGAAAATTAAACAACTTTTGTGTTAATTTTATTCAGTGCAGCAGAAAACATTTTCCTATTACAGTACTGTATTAGTAAAACATATTGAATAGACGTTTCTAAAGTATATCTCCTTGGATTTTGTAGTAGTGCGAAGAATTTAATCGTGTTATCTAATTTATAAGATTAAAATAGCTTATATTCTATTTGTAAAGAGTTACATATCGAATATTTTTATAAACAGGATCTTTCAAAAAAGAATTATGTACATTAGTTGTGTTATTACTAGAAAACGATTTAATTTCAAAACAGAAAAATTGTCCAAGTTTTATATTTGTTCATTACAATTTTTCAATACGTGCACCTCGTGTCACACTACTCATATCCAGTCAATTTATTCCCAGATTCTCTGCAACATATCCGTTGTTGTTACTCCTGAAGCAGTCATCATTCGATTCTGCAGCTCCGCAAATTACTGGGCAATGATGGTACGTAGACAGTGTCTTTCACATAGCCTCAGAAGAAGAAACTGCATGGAATCAGGTCTGAGGACTTGCATGGCCTACAGAGCAATGGACTGTGGACAATGGATCGCACATGGCGTCCGATCCATTGTTGAAACACACGATTCAAAACTTTGCGAACCTCTCTATGAAAATGAGGCGGCCCTCATCTTGTTGAAAGAAGAAGTCATCAGATTCTTGATGCAGTTGAGGAAAAAAGCAAGTATAGCGAGTCTAGGAAGAAATTGACTTTCGGCTGAACGTATGTCACGATATACAGATATTGAGGGATTATAATAAACAGGTATGAAACTTGGACAGTATTTTCGTTTGAAAAATATCAAATCGTTTTCAGGTAATTAACATAATTACAGTAATTTAAAATCGTAAAGTTCTTTTTGGAAGACCTTGTATTTTTGAAGTTACCCGGCTTTATGAAAGTTAAGCGTGCCTATATAGCAAACATATCACGTGTTGTCAGGTCAGCAATGGACTAAAAACATCAAAATTTTATTATACATAAAATTTATTGAGGATTTAATATGATCCTCACTCACTTTGTATCTTATATTTTCGAAGACTTGTAATTGCATTAAATAGATTTTAATTTAGTAAATACAGTGTAATGTTCATTTACTGCAAAATGAATTAATATCTGTTACTACATAATTAATAATATGCCATTTAAATTAAATTTCATATGAAGAAATATGACGGCATAGAAGCTATTTATTATAAATAATTTTCCAGGTGTTGAGTTTCTGTAATTTATTTATACTAGAGAATAAAGTCAAGTAAGAGTGCGTGTTAGCCAATAGTGAAACTCAATCTAGTTCTGTATGTATCACATTGAGGGCGCCACCAGTCTAACCAGAATAGTACTAAAGATGGGTGCATGAAAAATTATTTTTGAAATATCACTGGAAACAAAGGTAAGGAAGTAGCAAGATCATTAGTAAATTTATTATTGAGAATAGTTTAATCATTGTGATAGCGTTGAAACTTGCAATGTGCTATTTTCACAAGGAAAAAAACCTTATGTTTTGCTTCTCAGAATAGCAATTCTGCTGTGAAAACATGTAATTTACGTGTCAAAAATTAAAATACTTGATACATAAAATATACAAAGAATACAGCATGAATGTATTGGCGAATACATTTAATCTGATATTATTTGCAAGAATACATTCCAATTGAACTGAAACTTCTTTAACTTTTCTTTATATAAAATTAGAAAATAGAAGCACAAGTCAAACAGGAAATTAATATTATCCTTAATTAGGATAAATATTGAAAGACTTGAAAGATAACGAAACAAGAACAGAGCAATAGGTCATTCAGAAGGCGTTCAGGAAACACCATTACAAAAGCGTTTTAAAAACAGGAATCATCCATAAATCTCTCGATTTAGCTAGGAGCTATCAGAAAATACTTCAAGATTATGAAAAATACAAACGATACAATAAATAATAGAAGAAATCAATGATGACATCATCACGCATCTCTGATAAAAAAAAAACTTTCTTGGAAGTTGGTCTCGTGATTCAGTATTATGTAATATTAATTATGTAATAGCAATTTTTATAAATATAATAAACATTTTAATTCCCAACTGTAGAGAAGTTAAAGATATAGACGATCTACATTATATTTTATGTTAAACTATTCGTTTATCTGTTAATTTATTAGAAAGGTTAAAGTGACTAAGTGCTGATTGACGTAGGAGCTTGTAACTAAGGCTCGTATCTTCATTTGTTACTATTCAGGCTTAAGATTTGGTTTATGGAAATTTGAATGCTGAATATATCCTTCAATTCTCTTAAAAAAGAAAAAAAACAAAGATTTATTCTTATACTAAAGTCTTTATATTTTATTGATAAACATAAAATATATATCCAAAACATGACCTTGATCCGATCTTTGATCTGTGGTACTCTTGTGTAACCTTCAGAATCAATGTAAACTTTTGTTTATTCTCATAATATAATTAAAAATCAATCTATTTGCAAATTGAAACAAATATAATTTAGTTGAAATTCATAAAGAAAAGTCACATATTTATTTAAAAATCAAATTGTTTTTTGGCTTTTGTTATTGAGAAATACTTCTTTTAGTAGTAATTGCATAGATAATACTAAGAAAAAATTTCCTCCTCAATAAATAATTGCTGAATACTTTTAAAAAATATCTTATCGAATATTTAATTTAGATACTTAAATATTTAAATAAATAATGCATTATAAAATTTATCATTCTTTAGAAACAAATTCATCAAAATTTAAAACGTAACAGATTAGTTTTGTTACTCTCAAATAACTCTTTACGGCAAATTTCTGGTACTTATGATTAATAATAATGATATAAACAATATTTTTCTTTTTTACTAATGCAATATCTTGCATATTTAGGATACTGACTCTAAACTTGATACTAGTTTTTTTCTAATTAGAAACCAAGCTCAAACTCATTTATAAGTGAATTCACATTATTAAATATAAAGAACAATAAGCTGACTTGTTAATTTAATTAGTATAATGTCGTTTAATTAATAATTCAATTAATCTTAAATTAATTTTGTTTGTTGCAAAATGTACTAAGGGTTGAATGTCTGCATCAAATTGTCAATGGATGTAACTCTATAGCTTTGGCATCAGAACAATTTTTAGATGGACGAGAATGTTTAGATAAAACTTAACCTATTCACGATAGATAGCAACTATACGGCGATCAAAGTTCACAAATAAATGATGTGCAAATAATTTCATTTTGTATTATTTTTCTTTATAAATTTCTTTATTTCTTTAAACTTTTTTATAAATTTAAATTACAATTTATTTCGTTCTTTATAATGCAAAGGATTATGAATTATGATATCAGTTTATAGTATGACTCCGATGAGAAAGGATTTTAAGATTTGAGGCCAATTTTTCTTGATGACAAATAAAAAAATCACTTATTTAATTTTAATCTGTCCCTCCTTTTATAAACACTAAAAGAGACGATTACAGAAACGAAGTTTAAGACTTGAGCCATGAATTTAAACTCGCCTCTGCCCAGATCTAGGCCATTACTCTTGATAAGGCTAGCTGTAGCTAACAATGGTCAACTATTTGCCTTGAGGAGAGCCTTAACTAGCACAGAAGATTATCTAAGCCATAATTGGTTACATTTCGTTTCTGAAATTGGACCAGAAGTTTGACTGCGCTCTTAATCTATTCGTAGTTTTATAGCTTCAGATGCTGCAAGGATTGCTAATGCCATTGTGTTAAATGTTAAATGTAATTTAACAATGTTGTGTGTATATATTTATATATAACACTATGTGTAAATGCTGGAATGAAACTTCTTGTTTTCATTCATACAAATTTTTTTTTACAACTCAGATGCGAAAATTTGATAATTTTATCTATTTATCTTCAAGGATTTTTAAAACAAAAATCCTTGAAGAGAGATGAATTCTTGAAAATAAACATATAAGCTATAATTGTAATGATATTTTCTTTTCATTTTTAAAATTAATTTTTGATTTTCGAGAGATTGAATATGCTAATTATGCAGTTTATGCTCTTCCTTGTACAGTACAAATGAAGCACAAAAAACTGGAACTTGAATAAAAAGAGATATATGTATTAATATATACATAGAACATTGAACTTTACAGTATTTAAATCAAAATCATATTTATCTTGCAATTTTATGGCGTATAAATCTTCCATTTTGTTTTGGTACCGGACATTATGATTATGGTCTGTGGGTCCTTTAGTTACAGGATCACTCTGGTCTCTTGGGCAAGATATCTGACCTATAGGCATCTGTCTGCAATAAAATACATTTTATCAAACGAAAACTATTTTATTTACCTAAAAATCATAAAAATTTAATCCACGAGATTAATTACAATGTCTATAAATAATTTCTAAATAATTAATGTCTATAAATAATTTATAGACATTAATTGATTAAAATAATGAATGAATTAAAGTAATTAATTATGCAGTTTAAAAAAATAAGAATTTGCAATAAAATTTCTCACGATCCTATAAAATAAATGATAATTTCTTTGATAAATGATGTTTTTTTGTTTGAAATTTTCTGAGATGATAAAATGGATATTTACATTCTTTCTGAAGAAGTTGATGACGAACGAACGATCTGTAGGAAAATCTATGGCTTAGAGACAAAACATGTGACGTCAATCCTGAATAAATCATGTAAAGAGACGGATGTGTTAAGTTTGTTTCTAAGACGTTCCTTTATACAAGATTACGACCTCATTTGATAAACACCAGAAAAATCAAGGACAATAAAACATTACGTCAATTTGCCTTCGGTTCAACGAAAAATATGAAAAATTTTTAAATAATTATTACACAAAAAACTTTTTATGTTCTTCATTTTAATTTTTGCGTTGTATTTATATAATTTTAAAAATATTATTTTTGCCTTTTTGTATTTTTTTAAATATTATTTTTGTATTTTTATTACTATTTTCTAATTTACTATATTTTTAGATTTTTTTCTATGATTATTTTAATATTTTATTTGTTTTTAATTTCTCTGTTTTCTCGTATTATGTTTATTTTATTTTTTATTTAATTTTACATATTTTATTTCTGTATTTTATACATTTTTTATATTTTATTTTCACAGTTTTAATTTTTGTACATTGCATTTTTATATTTTCTGATGTTTGTTGCATAATATAGGCTTATATAAATAGCTTATATCAAAGATTTAAGCTACATTTTTATGAAATTCAGGTTAATTTTAATTTTAAAAATGTACAGAAGGTAAAATGATATTTAATAACTTACAAAATAAAACTAAATAAAATAAATTTATATTCAATTAGATTTTAATGTTTTAAATTTAATAAATAAATAGATAAATAAATTTAATAAAAATAAATTCAAAATATTAATAAATTAATAAGCAAATTTAATTGACTATAAGTGAGGTATGTTTACATTAATTTAATATGCTTACAAAACGACTTGAGATGAATGTTTACAGATTGGATCTGATACTATTCAACTCAAATTTGTGCTTATATTTCAAAATATTTGAGTTAACATTAAAGTTTTTAGTCAAGATTTCACTATATTTTAATCCTTTCGTAACCTATTTTAATAAAAATTAAATATCATGCAATTATTTGCACGATATTGCATGATTATTATATATTAGCTGTTACCCGCGACGTCGCTCGCGAGGATTTTGCAAACATACCCCATTTATATTCAGTATTTCAACAATCATAGTAATTGTTATATAAGACCTACCAGCGAGAATGATGAGAATTGTTGAAAATCAAACCAACTGTTTTCAATTTGATCAATTTTCTGGAACGTTTACAATCATGCTATAATCGAACCATTATGCAATAACAAATTCGAATTTAAAACGGTTCGAACATTTGGTTAAAAAATCGAAATATATAAAAACATTTCAGACATTGTTATAAATATTATCAATTTAATACACCTAAGTACTCAATGAAGACTAAACGTAGTTGAAAACAAAAAATCGCATCTAAAATAGTACAGTAGAAGCCGTTCTTCAGGTTAACAAGTAAGTCTTAATGCTCTCCCTCCCAGCGGGGGTATTTTCAAAAATCTCTTCTTAAGGCTGTTATACACGATAAGGAAATCCTTTGAGGATTAACCGTGATTTTTTTTCTATCTATCCATTTTTAAATAAAAATAATTTTTTATACGTTGGAAGATATTTTAATAAGTTTTGTAAATTACTATGTTCGATCCAGCCAATTATATCCGAGTTTTTTTCGTCTGTTAAGCACATCCTTTGAGGATTTCCTTACCGTGTATACCAGCCTTTAGTGTGCATTCTCATTGCATACCCTGTGTACAAAATTTCACCTCTTTAGGTTCAGCGGTTTGCTCTAGGCGATGATGAATCAATCAGTCAGTCAGGACAAGTAATTTTATATATTTAGATTACTATAATCAAGCATTGTAAAACAGTAAATTGTAAGTTATTATTATAATTTATTATATTATTTGGGATTAAAATAAATATAATTAACATGGAAAAAATGCTTAAAAATATAATGTTTCTTTCATTATCAATTTTTCGCATTAGCTTAAGCATAAGCGATGCATCAAAAAGCAGTAGCATATCTTAACAATCACCTATGGAATTATTCATGCGTCAAACATGAGTTAAAATCATTAAAATAAATAAAATTGATAATGAAAGAATGGTTAAGAGTGTCAAGTATTCTTTCACTGTTTAGTTATTGATGTTACAGTTATTTTTAAGCATAATTAATGTATCAGAAAACAGTACTCTGACACTAATTTTTCCTTTATCAATGGCATATTCATGCCTAGCAGGACAAGATGCCATGAATAAAAAAGAGGGCACTTTACTGAAAAATATAGGACAATAGAAAAAAACGTAGAATATGTTTTTCTCAGTAAGTTTTTCTTAACTATTGCAAATTATTGGAGTAATTTACAGTCAATTAACACTTTATTTTAAACTTACATGCACAACTCTAAAAAGGAAATTCTTAAAATGTTGAGTGTTTGCTATAATTTGAAAATTCCTCCCAAATACAAGGTTAAAATGTAGGACATCCGGAAAAAAGAGGACATCCAGTCATTTCATTTATGCATTAAACGTTATGAAAATAAATATCGTTGATAATGGAAAAATGCTTAAGAATGTTAATTCTTTTATGATGAATTTTTTTGTTGCATAAAAACTATTCTTAAGCGTAACTGATACATAAGAAGACTCATTTACGCATTATTTATATATTAAACATGATTAAAAAGTACTAATTGATGATTTCTATCAATTTATCACGACACTTGACGCGTTTATAAATCTCCTCACTCGAAATTTATGCAATCTTTATACACATGCTACACGTGTAAAATGTGTGAGTCAATAATTTTATTATTTACTTATTTACGGTATTTTTTGAAAGAATTTTTTCATAATAATTCTTGTTTTAACATTGTAATAAATAATATTGAAATTATAAATAATTAAATAAATATTTCAAAGTGAAAACATGCTACAGAATTACAACTGGGAAGTGAAATAGCTGTTGGTTCATAACTTAATTGTCATTGAAAAATTGTGATGTAACTAATACAAAAAGGAAAATAAAAGTAGTTGAAATGAAAATAACCGTAGTTTGAAGTTAGCAAATTTGATATAATGTTTACAAAAAATTGTGCAATAGCTGTAAAATAAGTGGCATTACATACTATTATTTTTCAACCGGGAGTTCGCGAACTCCACGGAAAGATGAACGTATTTTACGTTTTACCGCACGTGAAACGTTGCTAAAGATTAAGAAATATAATGACGTAAAGAAATTTAGATATGATTTTGATAATTTAAAGTTAAACAACACTTGAAAAATTATAATATTGATCATGTTTTCGGTACGAATTGTTTGAAGTACCAATCATATTGTCACTTGATGATAAATTCTATTTTGATAAAATACCATAAAACAATAGTAAATATCGTTTACTTTATTATAAATATCTTACGGATAAAAATTTTTATTTATAATTTATTGAATCATATTCAAAAGACTGATAGAATTTTTAACATTTATAAATAAATTTATATTCAATTAGATTTTAATGTTTTAAATTTAATAAATAAATAGATAAATAAATTTAATAAAAATAAATTCAAAATATTAATAAATTAATAAGCAAATTTAATTGACTATAAGTGAGGTATGTTTACATTAATTTAATATGCTTACAAAACGACTTGAGATGAATGTTTACAGATTGGATCTGATACTATTCAACTCAAATTTGTGCTTATATTTCAAAATATTTGAGTTAACATTAAAGTTTTTAGTCAAGATTTCACTATATTTTAATCCTTTCGTAACCTATTTTAATAAAAATTAAATATCATGCAATTATTTGCACGATATTGCATGATTATTATATATTAGCTGTTACCCGCGACGTCGCTCGCGAGGATTTTGCAAACATACCCCATTTATATTCAGTATTTCAACAATCATAGTAATTGTTATATAAGACCTACCAGCGAGAATGATGAGAATTGTTGAAAATCAAACCAACTGTTTTCAATTTGATCAATTTTCTGGAACGTTTACAATCATGCTATAATCGAACCATTATGCAATAACAAATTCGAATTTAAAACGGTTCGAACATTTGGTTAAAAATTCGAAATANGTATATACTCCAATTATCTACAATTAACCATTAACCAGTGCGAAAATTCATTGAAATTGGCAAACGTTTAATAATTACTTAAAATAGACTATAAACTTCTATAGAGAATATATGCAATAAAACATTTTGTAATCTTGTAAAAGTTATGAACTCGAACATTGTGAACCTGTTTTTAATTCCTTTGAATTTTCTATCAGCAAATAGTCAAAATGTTATCATTTAGTATCACATCACATGCGTATCTGCTGATGTACAAATATCACGTGCTAAATTTCAGTATCACAAAACGAAAATACGAAATGTCATAAATTTATACAAGAGAACGTCTATAAAATTTAAGAATAAAAACTAAATTTATAAAATAATAATAATAATAAATATGTATTGAAATATATTGTAAATCAACAACACTTTATTGAGAAACTATAGCATACATGCAATAAATACAGCAATGCTGCGTAAAATCACTTAAAAAATACTTTCGTGAGAATAAAATCTATTTATTTATATTTTAAGATTTTATATTTATTAAAAATTGACGGCACGTTATAATTTAATAAATATTTCGAAACAGTATTATAAGCAATCGCATTGATATCATCATATATAAAAATGTAAAAAAATATTGATAATGATCGAATCGATCTTTAACGGGACATGGACACGTAAAATAAACATTATTATGTTTGTTACTGATAAAAGAGAGAATAGTAAACTAATAATAATATTTACATATTTAGGTATTTGCACTAAAAAAATACAAAACAAATAATAGTAAACTATAAGAAGTAGTGCGCGTTTTTTTTCCAAAGAATTGCATCTTTTTGCAAAATTCTGCGTTTTAGAGAATTTGCATTTTTCAATATTTAGGGAACTCGGCGTTTTTACATTATTTTGTTTTTAAGGAGTTTATTTTTTTAGAGAATTTATTTATTTATTTATTTTTGATTAAAAAATTCTTTAATAAAGCACAGAAAAATACATAAAATACTTTTTACAGAATTTATATTAAAACTTCTTTCAAAAACTGCTTAGTTAAAAAAAATGATAAACAGTTTTTAATCGATTAATTGATCAAACGTTTCATAACAATTCACGTATATTTACCCTGTCTCTGGTGTTAAACATTGCATAAAAACATGATGAGTCATTAATTTTATTATTTATTTTATAATTTAAGACGATTTTGCTTAAATTAATTTTTTCTAATAAAACAAAGAATCAACTAATAAAAGGATTCATTTTTTTATATATTTATGTATGAACTATGTAAATTACAATAAAAGATTCGGTTTAAATAATTATTTAAACCGAATCTTTTATGGTAATTTATTGCGAAACTATAGCATACATGCAATAAATACAGCAATGCTGCGTAAAATCACTTAAAAAAATACTTTCGTGAGAATAAAATCTATTTATTTATATTTTAATTAGTTAAAATTTTGCGCTCGAGGAATCCAGGTTCGAGTTCAAATCGAGATTTTGATCGCCGGAAGTTATAGCATCGACTTACCGTTCTGGAGGATTCGGGATCGAATCTTGGCTTCCAAAAAGCTCCAAGAAATTTTCATGGGCGGCCAGGTCCCGTACCTCATCACCCTGTCTCTCCCGTTGGGGTCGAATCAACAATGGGCATGGAAAAACAGTCTTTTTAGTACCTTTAGTGAGGAAAGAGTTAAAAATTAAAATCAAGAATTCAGAAATTTTCATGAGTTGACTCAAATATGTCGAGCCCCATTCTTTATCATTGTGAGGACATGGCCAAAGGTTTATGTACATGGTAGCCCAAAAGTCAGTTAACAGAGATATATCTTTTAAGATTATTTTAAGAGCATTTCAATCGCTTCCTTGATTAACACATTCAACTGCTTCGAACCGGTTGTAACCGTTCTTAAAATATCAATATATATATCTCGGTTAATGGACTTGTTACGGTATAAAATTTTCTGACGTTTATCTATAAACCGAAGCATAATTAAGATAACCTGTAGAATAAGAACTGTTTGTGCATTTATTAATTAATCACTAATGAACTCAAAATATATATTCCCTGTTATTAAATAACGTATTTCCTGTAGACCTTGATGTTTTTCTACGTCGTAACTAAATCCTTTCTTACACAATTTTGAATTTATGTAGCGTAACGTCGGCGTTACGCTACGTAACGAAATAAAAATTAAGCTATTTTAACAGTAAATCATTTAAATATAGATCAGTAGCTACTGTACTGATTTTTTTAAAAAATAAATGTTTATTTTTATGTAGATCAGTATTTATTTACATGTAGTTTGCCCCGATTTTTCATGCATATTTATATTTATCTCATTATAAATATGTTAAAAGTTTATTAGACTATATCGGGGATGCTTTTGGTATATTTTATTTTTTGTAATAATAACAGTTAAATATTCGGATTAAAGTCCTAAAATTCGATAAAGTAAGCTTAACATAAATCGAAATTTAAGTGATTGAGCGCCTTAAAGTCCGCTAAATTTTCGATAACAAAATAGATATAAGAGTTCATTGTAATGTGTTTTATCTAAGAAATTTATATTTATACTTTATAATTTTGTTGATATTTTTGAATTTATAAAAAAAAAAAAAACAAATTGAATTTTAATTCGATTGAGATGAATTAAAATTTTCGGTATTATTTTAAATATATATATTTATAAAAATATAGTTTAATTTTGTTACGATATAATAATATTACTTCATATTTATTATAAAATTTAAAATTTTAAAAAATAATTTTTAAACTTTAATGTCCTTGACGTAATGTAATGGCGACGTAAAACATTTCCTGAGGGCGCCTCTAGTGGCAAATTCCATTTTTGCACTAGGCGAATCACGTGGATGTCAGACACGTGCTTAGCGCTATATAAGCAACCATTATAATAGTTTTTCTCATTTCACGTGTTTTTAAATAGAGGAATATGTCTTTTAACAGTCGCATATCAACCGAACCTTCTGCAATTACTAACGGTTACGGAGGAGGAATTATGATGAATGGTTATACAAACGGCTCGATTCCGTTACACAAAGATGGGTTGAGAGAATATCATGATCGAGGAGAAAAATTTTTATTCACCTCGGAATCGGTAGGAGAAGGCCATCCAGGTTAGTAGGTCTATGAATTAGATTATGAGGAGTCTAAATATTTTCTTAAAAATACTTAATTTAGACATTAAACTTTTGGAATTTTATTAAATTATAATTTAAGTTTTTTAATAGTTAATTAAATAATTATCATTTTTCAGTTCAAAATTAAAGTTAAAAATACTGTAATTTTTTTCTTACTGAATTATATGCATAAAAAGTAGTAATGGTTATAATTTAAATGGTAATTATTTTTCAGACAAAATATGTGACCAGGTGAGTGATGCCATTTTAGACGCTCATCTTGCTCAAGACCCTGATGCCAAAGTAGCATGCGGTATGTTGTCAGAAAAGCTTTCAAATGCTTATCACTCTATCTATTTCTTATCTTTATATAAACCGATCATCTTCTCTTATTGTTAAATATTTACACTCACTTTTATTAAAATATCTAATCTTTGATTTGACCTTCTTTCTGTTTGTTTTCACTATTGAATTTTATATAAAGCTGAAAATATTAAAAAATTTATATTAGGTTATTGTATGAACTAAAATGTAACTTTCTTGTTTAATTTCAGAAACGGTAACTAAAACAGGTATGATTCTTATTTGTGGAGAAATTACTTCCAGAGCGGTTGTTGATTATCAGAAGGTTGTTAGAGATACTATTAAACATATTGGCTATGATGATTCATCTAAAGGTGAGTTTGATTTTATAACACAAATTCAAAAATATTTACTTTAGACAAATTAAATATATGTTAGTGTTTTCTATTTTTAATATTAAATAAACAGATTAAATTATTTTGCATTATATATATTAATTATATTTGTGTTTTTAATAATTCACTTTACGTTTTTAATAATTTGGAACATATGTTAAACTTTAATGAATTCAATGATTTATAAATATTAAAAAATTATTAGTGCATAGTTTTCCCTGTCAAGTATAGCACAGTCCTTGTAGTGTTCTACAAGATTCTGTTTCATTTAATACTGAAACTAAATTTGATCCTTTTAAAACTGGACAAACAGAACATATAAATGAGTTGTGCAATTTTTGATAATGCTGATTTTTGTTTGTATCATGATCAAAAATAATTGTCTAATGCTACAGCTAAGTAGCATATAAGCCAATAAATTTTCTGCATGAGATGATTAATGTTAAAAATACAAAAACAAGATGACTTAAAATAATGGAAGTTTTTAACATTTTGAATGACTCTATCTTTTGATTAACTCTACTATGACTGACCTTTTTTTTTTTTTTAACTCATAGACAACAAAGTAATGAAATATTTGTTGTTTATAAACTGTTTAGCAAACAAACTATCTTCATAAGCTTTAATCCAATGCACACTGATGTCAAAATTGAGTTGACAACTTAAGGTTAAAGATTACTTATGGAACAACGTGATGATATAATTAAATATATTGTCATTATTATGTTGCTTGTTTCAATTTTTCCACCCATGAGAATTGACCTGTAATTAAAGGATAAGGATTAGATGCTGGAGGGTGTTACAATGTCCTCAAGCTAAATCTTAAGATTTGCAAGCTAAAATAAGATCTTAACACATGTATTTTGCCAATAAATTGGCAATATGTTTTTATTTTTATTCATTTATTTCTTCTCAAGACAAAAATATATAATATTTATATTTAGGGAACATTTTGATTGTTTATTTTTTTAGCTAGTATTTTCATTTTATTGGTAAGGATTGAATTGGAATGAATCATTATTTGTAATAAAATTGAATTCCGAGGTATTTTTCTTTGTGATGCCATATCTTTTTTTCTTTACAAGAAAATTTTGTTAAAACAAAGTTTATTGATTTCAATAATAAGAAAGTCCAGATACATGCATTAAAAAAATAATTTTAAAGAAATCTATTGAAAACAGAATGTTGCAATGTGCAATACACTGAAATATTGTATAATAAGAGACATTGAGCAATTGAATATTGCATATGATAATACAATAATTCCAAAATTAGACTAGCTGAAATTTCAGATTTGAAGTTTTTGTAATTTCAGCGAAATAAATCTGTTGATAATCATTAAATATTTGTTACTGTTGATGAATGTTTTGTCATCTTTTGAACATTCTTTTCATCTATACTGGAATAGTATTTGAACTTACATTTTGCATTTTTATAGAAAAATATATATTAAACTTTTCTAGATATAACTTTCTAATAAATTCTACAGACTAACCTTACCTTAGTCAATCTTTAAACTCCAAAACATCTTTCTCCAAAACATTTCTTGCTTTCATCTTCAATGCAGACTTTCTCTTCTAGACAGTTCAAATACAGAAATGTTATCCTTAGGGAGGAAGAAAACATTTTGACTGAAATCTAAGGTTAGTCTGTAGTATTTACATTTTCCTCAGTTTAGAGTGAATTTGTAACTTCCTAATAATTTATTTTTATAGTAATTTCTCAAAATATAAATGTAAATAAATTAAATTTGAATTTTTATAGGATTTGATTACAAAACTTGTAACTTAGTATTGGCCATTGAACAACAGAGTCCTGACATTGCCAGTGGAGTTCACATAGATAAAGAAGAAGAAAACATCGGAGCAGGAGATCAGGTAAAATTACATTTTAAAATGTGCAACATATTTTTTTTTTTCTTGTTGATAAATGCATAATTTTAAATTATTTTAAAATAAACTAATTATAAATTGCTTTAGTGAAGTTATTATTAATCTACACATAGCAAAGATAAATCTTTGCTATGTGTAGATTAATTGACCTCTTTCTAGAATTTGAACAAGAGAATCAGGAAAGTTTCTGCCAATTTTTTTTCACAATAATCACTCAATTGAAGCTTGAATAAGCACCATTAAAGCCTATAATTAGTTTTATTTAATTTAATTGGTATTTTCATTGTTATGGAATTATTTTTCAATTTAAAAATAATTGACACTAAAATATTTCCATTTAGATACATTTATCTCTGTATGAAATTTAAAGTGAAGATATTTCACTGACACTAGTATACTACAAATGTTAATAATCAATATTTTCTGTTTTTATTTCCTGGGGACAAATACTATTTTCATATAAACCCACATACTTTTGTGCCATTCAATTGGATAGAAAAACCTTTTGTAAAATCTCTGTATCAAATTTGATTATTACCATCAATTTACACTTCAGATACTTTTTCAATAAGAAAAAAAGTGAAATTTATTTTTGCTAGAATGTAATAAACATGAGATTTTATTTGAAGTATAAATTGTGATCATTAAATTTAATATTAGGAGTTTATTCTCCAATTGGACTAATAGAGAACCTGGCAGTTCACTGTCGAGGTCAGGGTCTACAAGGTGACTTATTACTCTCCTACATAAATTGATAATCTTTTGAAGATGCAATTGATGCACAAGACCTCCAACCTCTTCACGTGTGTGAATCATCAGGTTGGTAGTTTGGCTGAATGGGTCCCCATTACTTTAAAAATGGACTTTAAACAGAAAGTATGTGGACTAATAGACTTGAAAGTACTTGATAAATTATTGGTTTAGAAAACAAAATGCAAAACATGATAAATTTCGTTGACATTCTTTTAAATATTCATATGAACTGTTCATTGTAAATAATTGAAGACATGAGTGAATGAATGTATTATTTTAGGATCATTCAAAACCTGAGTGTCCTACATGGATAAAGCTGTAATGTGTATGTACAGTAGAGCGTTGTTTATCCGAATCAATTGGGGACTGGGGTTGTTCGGAAAATCGATATTTCGGATAACCGATTATGTATGAAAAAATATATTAACCTATCCCGTGTTGAAATTTTTCTCCGTTGTGTGTTGCTTTGCATTGAATTTTCGTCAATGTTAAGCCTAACGAAGACGATTGCATCGTTAAAAATTATTTTTTTATTTTGTACAAACAAAATAAATATATTGAAAAATATAAAAACAATAAAAAATTATACTTCAGAAGTTAATTTAGTATCAAAAACGTAAAATATTTGAGTAGCCCAAGACATAGCCATAGATTGCAGTGCCACAGCACTGGCGAAAAATTTAAATTTGCCGACTGGAATTCTTTTGGATAATTGACTTTCGGATAAATGACACTCTACTGTATTCATATCTCGTATAGCACCATCAAATATATCAGAAATTAAATGACATATAATACTCCCTGCAACACGCTATATTTTGTAGATATATTTACACCAAAATAATTAAATAATAAAAACTTGATTATTAATTCACTCAAAACTTTCAACATTTTCATTCACTCGTGTCTTCAGTTACATTATTTTAAAACTTTGAAGTGTTAATTATATATAATCCTTTTTACAGAAATTTTTCAGATAGAAAAACACTGCTTTCTTCTAAAATATTCATAAGATTCTGAATACAGGCTTATAATTAAACTTTCAACAATTTAGTAATAATCATAAACATTCAAATAATAAAATAAACATTCAAATTAGAGAATTAGAAATTAATGTAGAAATAAAATTACAAATATAAGTTAATGAGCAATATTCTGTAGTTCATCTTAGCTGAACTAGTTTTAACAGTAACACCTCCTAATTTTATCACTTATGGATTACCAAAACTGCTAGTAATCATATCTCTAAATAATCCAAAGTGTATTAGGAATAGTTATTTTTTTCCTGCCTCCATAGGCACTAACTAAATTTATTCCATGTCCATTTTGGGTTCAGTCAGATCCACAATGAAGATGGCAATGGTATTGAGAAACAAGACTTGACATATTTTGGTCAAATTGCCCATGAAAACTCCCCTGGAATTGATCTCAGGTTCCTCCAGAGCAATATGCTAACATCTTTTAACTGCCTTTTGGCCATCTGCTAGTCAGTTAAAATTATATTACTAAATATTAATTTCCACTTAAGTACATCTTAACTTTTTAGAATATTCTGTTGTTATCTCATCTATAATTTTGATTTATTAAAATTCAGATAATTAAATCATATGCATACATTAAATACACACAGCGTGTGTGTGTGTGTGTGTGTGATTTTTTGATAACAATATGTATTAAACAAAACTATATATATAATCATATAGTAGTGTTTTTGTTTTGTACAAAAACAAAATAAGTCTAATATAGATTCTATAATACTTGAATATTTTCAGGGTTTAATGTTTGGCTATGCTACAGATGAGACAGACGATTGCATGCCTTTGACTGTGGTATTAGCACACAAACTGAATGCGACTTTGGCAGAATTGAGAAGAAACGGAGAATTTTGGTGGGCAAGACCAGATTCAAAAACACAGGTAAATTTTGTTTGGTTTTCATAATATGTTTATTCTCTAAGTAATAAAAATAAGATTTTTAAAATTGGAATGTTCTTAGGTGACTTGCGAGTATGTATTTGAAGATGGAGCCGCAGTGCCACTCAGAGTTCACACAGTAGTAATTTCAATCCAGCATTCTGACCAGATCACTCTTAATATGCTGAGAGAAGAAATAATGAAAAAAGTGATCAGAACAGTTATTCCCAAAAAATATTTAGATGAAAAAACTATCTTTCACATCAATCCCTGTGGAAATTTTGTTATTGGCGGTCCAATGGTAAGTGTGGCATAAATGATTTTTTTAAGAACTATAACACATTATCTTAACTTTTTTTCCCCTCTTCTAAATTAAGACTTGTAAATCTTATTGTTTAGTTTCCATTTTTTTTTTTAATATCATTATACAAACTGTCAAATTTTTTAATAGTTAAACATTCAATATATGTAATAAAAATCAGTAATAATCTCAAACTGATGAGGTGGAGATAGTTTCTCTTCAGAAGACTTTAAATTCTAGGACTTGAGTAATTTATTAATTCTAAAAACAAAAAAAATTATCAAATTTACATTTTTCTTTTTGGAAAGACATATTTCTTTCATTTACATACAAGGAGATCATAATTAAAATATCCCTATTAAAGCACATTTAGAGACTGCTGTTGAATGTAATTGATGTAATTGGACCAAACTTGATAATACTATTGTACAGGACATGCAGAAGCAATCATTGTGAAAAAACTTTAGACCCAAAACTCACCATCAGGGATTGTGGTATTGTCCAGTACCTCATTCGTCCCTGTGATTTTATTGTGGGGAAATCTCAAAAGAGTTGGGTTGCTAATCTGTCTGTTTAAAAACAGCATGAAACTGCATGTGAATAATATTAGATTACTTTTGTTCTGAAATCGAACACAACTTTTTTATTGTTTGCAAGTTCTAATAGGCAATAATGGAGGCTATACTGAGGAATTTTATTGCACCTTAGACTGTGAGATTTAAAGTTCATATACTCTGGACGAGGGGGGAAAAACACTATTAATCTAAAGTTTTGGTCTTGAGAAAACAAAATTAAGCCAGTAAGTATAAATGCCTGCTGTAAGGTTGGTACATGTAAATACAGTAGTGCGTCGATTTTCCGAAAGTCAATCATCCGATAGAATTCCAGTCGGCAAATTTAAATTTTCGCCGGTGCTGTGGCGTTTCAATCTTTGGCTATGTCTTGGGATACTCAGATATTTTACGTTTATGATACTAAATTAACATCTGAAGTATAATTTTTTTATTGTTTTTATATTTTTCAATATATTTATTTTGTTTGTACAAAATAAAAAAATAATTTTTAACGATATAATAGTCTTTGTTAGGCTTAACATCGATGAAAATTCAACGCAAAGCGACATGCAACGGAGAAAAATTTCAACATCGAATACGTTAAACTATTTTTTCGTACATCAATCGGTTATACGAAATATCAGTTATACGAACAACCCCAGTCCCCAATTGATTCGGAAAATCGACGCTCTACTGTAATCTTTAAAAACATCTTGATTTTACTCATATCAAAGTGCCACACTGACTACTGATGATGATTTTTAAAATTTTTTTTCATGAGGATCACTTCTGCATTTCTTGGATAGTAGTATTACCAAGTTTGTTCCAACTTTTCCCAGATGTCTAGAAAGAAATCTCTGAGTAGAGATAATTTATGATCACCCTATATATTTCAAAATAAACCAATGTCTTTCCATATAAAGTAAACGATAATAATCAACTCTTTAATCCTTTTTGTTCATTAAATATAATATTAACAATTCTATTGATCCACTTAACAATTTTTTTTTAACTATGAATTAACATTGCTATTGAATTAACAATTCTATTGATCCACTTAACAATTTTTTTTTTAACTATGAATTAACATTGCTTAGTATATGTAATAATTAAGTTAACAAAATTATTATTTTAGGGTGATGCAGGTCTCACAGGAAGGAAAATTATAGTTGATACTTACGGAGGCTGGGGTGCCCATGGAGGTGGTGCTTTTTCAGGAAAGGATCCCACAAAAGTTGACAGATCAGCAGCATATGCAGCCCGTTGGGTGGCCAAGTCTCTGGTGAAATCTGGTCTATGTAGACGTTGTTTAGTACAGGTGAGTCAGATACAAGACTTGATATCTTTTTGGTTCATTTATTAAGTAGCTAAGGAATCATTTTAGAATTAGATATTTTTCATCTAGTTATATTTTATCAAATGCTTTATTATTCAGTTATCTTATGCCATCGGAGTTCCAGAACCAGTTTCTATCAGTGTGTTTACTTATGGAACGTCTATGTTATCCCAAAGAGAACTGCTTGAATTAGTTAATCAGAATTTTGATCTGAGACCAGGAAAAATAATGAAGTAAGTAAAACTTTAAAATGAAACTTTTCATATTGAATATTGCTTGATTTAATGATATTTAAAAAAAAGAAAGATGAAATTTAGAAATTTATGGCAAGAGTATAATTAACTAGAATTTTTGTTCATTTAATGAATTCTAAAACCCTCACCATCCAAAATTTCAAAATATTTATTATTGTGTTAAATAAATTAAGTTTTTACAGTTTTAGTTTAATATATTGTGTGCTGAACATCTTGTTAATATAAAGTTGGAAGTTAAAGCTAAGATGATTTTAATGGAACTTATCATTTGATAATTGTTAGCCAATTTCTAGTCCAATACTTTGTTGCTATCTTATATTGTCTAATTATTAATTTTGAAGTTAATCTAGACTAGTCTGGAGTATAATTCTCTTTTTATTCCAAACTATGTAATGTCTATGTACTTAACTATTATACCAGAACTTGGCTAATTAATTCAGTTTTATCATTTGATTGTATAGAAAAACCAAGCCCAAATTATACTAGTGATGAAACTTCTGTAATATATTATCATTGATAGATGGTCATTGGCCCTATATGGCCTGTCTTTGTAAATAAAATACAAAGATAGGAATGCTGCAACCTGTCAAATTTTTATACCCAAAGTAAAAAAATAATTAAAATTATGCATTATCTGATACCATTTTAGTAATGAATTACCATTAAATAAGTAAACTGTATACTTTAACAGTATTTTTAACTATACAGAAACTATTATTAAAAATTTGACTAAAAAGATTATTTTTAAAATTGTTTCCATATCTGCATATGCTTTAATTTTGGCTGAGATGAACATCACTCATACGGTCTATTCTATATTGTGAAACACAAGCAGGATTTATATGTGAATATAAATCCTGTTTCACATGTTAATATGTGAAGCATGTACTACAGACAAGTGCTATCAAAGTGGTTTGCAGATTGAATCCCAAAGTTTCCAGGAAAATCAATCATATACAAGCATAGTAGGATAAACAATACCAATCCTTATCAATTATTTTGAGTAGCACTGTTGTAGAAAACATGTAAAGTAAAAATATTATTATTATGAATAAGTGAAATTTTTATTTTATTATTATAGGGAATTGCAACTTAAGAATCCAATTTACCAGAAGACCAGTTGCTATGGCCATTTTGGACGAGAGGAGTTCCCCTGGGAAATTCCCAAGAAATTAATTTAATAATGTTGTATTTTAGTAATTGTTTTATTGATAGCAAATTCTTTGTTATGGCATTTTTATTATACAAATGGGAGTTATCTTTTGCGTAACTCTTCGTAATATTCATATTATTATCTTATTTCCTTTAGGGAAAGTATATTTTTATTGGTTACAAAATAAGTATTCTCGTACTGCAATTCCGAAAATTTGTTTTTTTTGGGAGAGCGTACATAAATTCTACAACAGGAACTTTCAATACCTAATGGCAGTAATATGGAATTTTTTATTTTTTTAAAAATTTTTAATCTTTCAAGCACTCTTTTGGTGTGACGTGTATATATGTAGATTGTATTGTTAAGAAAGGCAATTGTTTCAAATTTACCTGTACAGTACATAATTACTGCCATTGTTTTAAATAAAGAAATTCCAGCTTTTTTCCCTGCGGTGATTTTTTTGCCGCAGCTTTATAAATATGCTATATTTTTTTATATTTTCTATATACCATAAAGAACTTTTGAGAAAGCAATGTAATTTAAGGTTGGCTGTTTTTGAATGAATGTATATATTCAATGATGAGAATGGTTGTTACATATCTGTATTCTCATTATAAATATATGAAACTCTAACATAGTTGTGTATCATATATAATGATTGTTTGTTTGACCGGTACAGAACTATTTGTGCTGCCTATAAATAAATGACTTTGTAGTTATCTGTATAAACTGAATAAATCATGTTTACTGTAAAACAAATCGTCTTTAGTATAAATACAAAACTAGGTCCAAATTTTAAAAAGTTTGATTTGTTAGGCATATTAAAGGTATAAGTCATAATTATAAATATTAAGGTATGTCATAATTCTACACAATGCAGCTGAATCCAACTTACAACAAAGTAATTAGCACAAGTGGAGAATGGAGTGAAATCCTGATTCATAATGCTTTATAAATTATGGAGATCAAATCATTGCATTGAAACCCAGATTCCACTGGTGGTAATTTTATGGCTTATTCTGTAGTTTTTGTTTTTAAAAATTTAGTGCCTAAACATATTACCTTCATCACATTTTTAACCATTTCTTATATAGGAAATCTAGATGTTCTATGAATTTTTATCAAGTACTGATGATGTAAAAATTCTTAATGAGAGTTTTTTAAGTATGATTTTGTGATTGAACTGAATTCCAACAAAATTCAAGATTGCTTCTCTCTGAAAGTATTTGGGAAGTTTGTAATGAATGGATGTTTGACTAATAAAACAGATCTAATAATCTGGTATCGGTTAAATCATTCCAATATATTGATAATTTAGATTATTATTTGAATGTTGAATACTTCAGCTAATTCAGTGTAAAAATAAACGTCCTGTAAAAATGACTTTTTGCATATTTTATTCTTATAAAGTAAATAACTTCTATTTTTCTAAGATATTCTCTCCTTGAAATAACTCTGTATTAAATTAATTTTTAAAAAGTACTTTTAGATAATTTGAATTTTACAACAAAAATAAACTATTACCAAAAATATTTTGGTTATATAGTACTTCTAAATCGATAATGCTTGATAAATTATACAGAATACAAATAAAAGCTTAAACAAATAGCCTTAGGTAGGAGTTTTAATAGTTGTTTTAAAACCCATTAAGTCAAAAACAATAGTAGTTATTAGTTTGATTACTAGAACATAAAATTGTTACTACTATTAAAGTTAACATTCCAGATAAAGACAAAGCTGGAAAATATGTAAAATTATTCAAATATAATTGTAGAAACTTCTATATCTTAAGTTATATCAATAAAAGAATAAATGAACATTTCAGTTTTTATACAGCTATATAAAGATCAAATACAAAATAATACCTTGCATTGCATCATTAACGCAATTGGCCTCAAACAAGAAAATGGAAGTATTCCTATTTTCTTGTTTGAGTAAGTAGCTAAATCTAATCCACTCGGGTTTCTAGAACAATTATACATTCATATTTTTAGAAATAAAGCTTCAATAAACAAACAAACACACTAATTCCATTCTCTGTGTAAAATGTAAGCATTGTATCTAAGTATGATTTCTTCTCCCTCATTATCTTTAATTAAAGTTAAATTTGGACAATTTTAAGGTTGCTGTCTGTTTTCAACATATAAAAAATTAATTTACATTTTTCATTACTTCATTTCTGAAGACATCTTTTTCCTATTAAGTTATTAAGAATTATACAAGTTTCATAAACTGTCTACATACATACATAAATATGCTTGTATAATCACAGCTAATTATTTCTAAACTGGTTAGCAACATATTGCTTTAAATATTAAGTATAGACTGTTTATTTGCTAGAAGTAATCTTGGAATCTACTGAACAGATTTTAAAAATTCTTTTGCTATTGGAAAGCTTATTCCTTCAGATGGATATAAGCTGTATACTTTTTTGTATTAAAAAAGGAAAATGCACAAAAAAAGACGTTTTTACTATAACATTTGTCTTGCATCATCATCTCTATTCAAAGTCAACCCCCTTTGCCACCTGGTGAGCTTTTCTAAACTTATAATAGTGTGATAAGAAATGAATTATGAAGACAAAATAAACATACACAACTACCTGAACCAAATCCAAAAATATATTTTATATCATCAAATGCAACTATAAGGAGTGAATTTACTTCCCTTATGTGAAACTACACTTTTGTACAAAGGCCTATTGCATTTTTAGTGTTCATTGTTTTAATATTTAATTCTTATTTTTAAATAATGGTATAGTATAGTCTTAATTAACATAGGTAGATATCTAAGTTCTTTTGGTTACTTTTTAGGTGTACACATACACAGGTCTTATCAATGTTAAAATGCCCAATACATCCAATATTGCAATTGTCACAAAATATAACTGTCAAGGGACTATTGGTACTTTCTGATATATATAAGCTACCTTAAAACTCAGATTCCTCACTTCTACCTGCTGATTTTGTCTTCTGTACAAACCCCCAAACCCTTTGACCATTCTGGATCAAATTCTGCATAATTACTCTGGTATTTCTCTGCAAACATGACTACCATAAAACTTGGACCCCTCACTCTTCTCTGATTTCATCTCCCTACCCCAAACTCCTAACCCTTTTGAGCAATCTGGACAAATTTTTCAGTCTACAATCCTCCAAAAAAATGTTAATTTAAAACTTGGACCCTCACTCCTCTGATTTCATCCTCCACAAATTGCCAAACCCTTTGATTTGCACCCAAATTTTGCATAGTTACTTTTTGCCATCCTGCAGAAAGCATGCACTATTCTTTGCTAGTCATTGATTCAAAGAATGCTCTGAACAAGTACTATGCATTATATTAATCATTCAAATTATGTCAATATCAGGATTTAATCCAATTTTATTAATATAAAATGATTAGATATTTATTATTATAAACTGGGGGGGCGTGTCTAGCCTGCGGAGGTGTTGGTGACTTTTTTGCTGAGCTGTTGTGGCGACGTTAGTCATGGAATTTTTACAACAAAATAATAAGTTTAGAACTGAAATAAGTAGTTTAAATGTTTTATTANCTTAGTATTTTTTTTTATACTCCTAAGAATATGGAAGTAAAGTAAAAACAATAAGTGCCATTTATTGTGATCAATTCAAAACAGTAAAATCATTAGTAGTTTATTAGGATCATACTTTTCAATATTAGATTTAGATGAATCTCAGATATTTTTGTGTCATTTCAAAGTTAGATGATGATGATGATAAGTACTGTATTTTGTAGTATGAATTCAAAACAAGTAAAAAATAAATGAATATTTTAGATAACTATGTACTGTAAGGTCTCTTTTTATGCGGATTATTTTTATGCAATTTTGAAGTTGTGCGGTTTGTATTTCATCCAAAAATTTCTTGGACAAACATACATATAGGCTTGTTTAGGAAGCCCGCGTATAGACAGTCTCCAAAAATCGTGGAACGCTCAAAGCTTACTCCATTTGTTCCACTGACATATAATGTTTATGGATGTAAAGGACAGCTAGATCTACCTTAATCGCTTTAGTTCCTAGCAATTTTTTATATAAATGTAATTAAACATAAAAAATACTTAAAACTGAAAAAAAACGAAAGAAATGCGTTAATTTTGAAGAAAAAGCTTCAAAGTTTAACTTCCTTTGTCTCGCCCTTCTGTGAAATTTAACACCAATGAGTCATTGTTTACACATCTGGATGACCTTGAACACAGCTGGAGCTGGATTTCCCGGGGCATTCTCAGTCGTCGCGGGAGGACAAGGGTTTAAAGTAGAGTGAACACTAGCTGCCAGTATATTTTTAAATATTTTAGAAAATTTGGAGACTTAAAAAACATTCCAAAAATTCAAAAACAAATTAAGCCTTAAGGACCATGTTTTATGTAACGCTATGTAACCTGCCCGAGTTAACTCGGGCGAGGAACTAAAGGTGTTTTAATTAACTCTTTACATCCAGATGTCAATGATTTGTTTTTAGAGTGAACTTTTGCAATTCGGGGATTCCCCTTGTACATGATACTTACCATCGGCAAGTCACTATTACATCATTCTAGTTTTGCATTGAAAGGTATAAACTGTAATTGTTTTGAAATTAAATTTTATTTTAGCGGTGTTTTATTCATTTTTATAATAAGTAGCAAGTTTAAATTTTGCTGATTTCAAGTTGCAGTAATAAGCAGCCTATTTCTTTTAATTTCTGCAAACTTTTTTTATGCGGTTTTAAGTTAATTTTAACTCGTTGTTTTGGTTTTATGCGATTTTAGAAAATTACGGAACGTATCCCTACTTTTTCAAGGCAAGTAAAGTCTTTTTTATGCGAATTTTTTATATGCGCTTTTCTGTAGAACGTATCCACCGCATAAAACGAGACCTTACAGTACTTTACATCTATTACGGTACATTCAGGAATTAATTTCTTTTTACACAACTCTAAGTAAAAATCTTAAATTTCTTCCCTTTATAACTTATTTTGCATATCTCGAAAACTTCCAGGAACTTCTAAATACTGTATCTTTTTTAAAACTGTTTTAACTCTTTTCTCCCTGTGGATACTAAGAGGGCCTTTTTTAACAAGCCTATTATGGGTTTGGCTATGTTTACAATGGGGCGGCCTGGTGATGAGGGACGAGGTCCGACATATCCGGGCCACCTTGACCGTTCGGCCATCCGATCGCCTCTAAATACTGTATCAACGAGCTAGAATATACTACATAGAGTGGCTGTGACCATGGTTACAGCGCTCTTGATAGCAACGACGGTTATCAGCCCCACCGTAAGCGGGCGTGCAAGGCGTGCACCGCACGCGGGCGGCAAATCGAGCGATCGGTCACATAATATTCAAAGTCATTGTCATAATACCCACCCTACTTATAGCATAAGAAATGTCTTCGCCTGGAGAAAAAAATCCACCGGCGCGCAAATTACTATATTCTTATTTATATTGTAGCGTTAACAGCGCCTCTATTGACATTTATCAGAATTAAGATGCAATGCGAAACGTCTGTCGGCAGGTTGAACCATCCGGCGGCACTCGAAAGCCAAGTACCCATAGTCGTGCTCTATGACAGAAGTTGACAGGACTGGCGAAAATAGGGAATTCCCACAGAGCTTCCTTCTCAATTTGTACTTGTA